AGGAATTTTCATTCGATAATGTCAGCTGAATACACTCGACATATAAATCTTCAATTTCCAATAATTGAAATTCATTGATCAGTATTTTTGAATAACATTTTTAATGATTGTCCTCTAAGCAACCCTAGAAGAAAAAATCTAGGAACACCTAAGTAAATTTGGAAGAAAATTCCTCATATTTCATTGAACTATTTATGAATTTTCTTGAATAATTTTCTCGTTTCTTGTAAAAAATCTAGGAATAAGACTGAATTTTGTTTAGGTGTATTTTTAAGGATTCTTTGATACCTTCCTTCATTGATGTTTTTCCTAGGTAACCCTAGGGGAAAATCCTTGAAGTCTGATTGAACCACCATAAGCCCCTGAACACTTTCAATGAATTTTTACCATAATAGCACTGGAGACAAATTCTTGAAGTAGATTGAAGGAGGCACAATTACCATTGGCAATAGGACTCCGTTAATTTTAACCAAATTTCAATATTTTAAAGGGGTTTTTGGGGCCCTTTTGTAGGTATCAAACTCCAAAAAGATCAAAATCAGATTAGTATTTTTCGAGATATTCAAGAAAATATTCAAAAAAATTAAATTTCAAATGTTGGGATTTTCAGTCTAATTGATCATTGGAGAGCCCCCAAACTTCATACACTAAATTATTCTGAGATTTGGAGCCGAACTCCATGTAAAAAGGCACCCCAAATTACTTAACACCAATTTATCTCAGGAACTATAAGTGCAAATGAGCTGAAACTTTCAGGGATTGTTGTCCCTTGATTGGGATAAAATTCAGTGAAAGTTTCAGCTTTCTATCTATAATAGAAAAAAAAGATATGACCTTTCAAAGTTTTCCAAAATCTAAATCATAAGGTAGGTTACAAAAACGATGAAATTTCAATTTTTTTTTTTTTTCGAGATTTTGTATCCTAACGGTTAATCAACATACCCCAAACTCCATACACTAAATAATTCTCAGATTTGAAGCCGAAATCTATGAAAAAAGGCACTCAGAAAAATTGAAAAATTGATAAATTACTCCAAATTGCTTAACACGATTTTATCTCAGAAACTATAAGTGCAAATGAGCTGAAATTTTCAGGGATTGTAGTCCCTTAATTGGGATAAAATTCAGTGAAAGTTTCAGCTTTCTATCTATAATAGAAAAAAAGTTATGACCTTTCAAAGTTTTCCAAAATCTAAATCATAAGGTAGGTACCTTCTTACAAAAACGATGAAATTTCAAAATTTTTTTTTTTCGAGATTTTGTATCCTAATGGTCAATCAACATACCCCAAACTCCATACACTAAATTATTCTCAGATTTGAAGCCAAAATCTATGAAAAAAGGCACTCAGAAAAATTGAAAAATTAATAAATTACTCCAAATTGCTTAACACGATTTTATCTCAGAAACTATAAGTGCAAATGAGCTGAAATTTTCAGGGATTGTAGTCCCTTAATTGGGATAAAATTCAGTGAAAGTTTCAGCTTTCTATCTATAATAGAAAAAAAGTTATGACCTTTCAAAGTTTTCCAAAATCTAAATCATAAGGTAGGTAGGTACCTTCTTACAAAAACGATGAAATTTCAAAAAAAATTTTTTTTCGAGATTTTGTATCCTAATGGTCAATCAACATACCCCAAACTCCATACACTAAATTATTCTCAGATTTGAAGCCAAAATCTATGAAAAAAGGCACTCAGAAAAATTGAAAAATTAATAAATTACTCCAAATTGCTTAACACGATTTTATCTCAGAAACTATAAGTGCAAATGAGCTGAAATTTTCAGGGATTGTAGTCCCTTAATTGGGATAAAATTCAGTGAAAGTTTCAGCTTTCTATCTATAATAGAAAAGAAGTTATGACCTTTCAAAGTTTTCCAAAATCTAAATCATAAGGTAGGTACCTTCTTACAAAAACGATGAAATTTCAAATTTTTTTTTTTCGAGATTTTGTATCCTAATGGTCAATCAACATACCCCAAACTCCATACACTAAATTATTCTCAGATTTGAAGCCAAAATCTATGAAAAAAGGCACTCAGAAAAATTGAAAAATTGATAAATTACTCCAAATTGCTTAACACGATTTTATCTCAGAAACTATAAGTGCAAATGAGCTGAAATTTTCAGGGATTGTAGTCCCTTAATTGGGATAAAATTCAGTGAAAGTTTCAGCTTTCTATCTATAATAGAAAAAAAGTTATGACCTTTCAAAGTTTTCCAAAATCTAAATCATAAGGTAGGTACCTTCTTACAAAAACGATGAAATTTCAAATTTTTTTTTTGTCGAGATTTTGTATCCTAATGGTCAATCAACATACCCCAAACTCCATACACTAAATTATTCTCAGATTTGAAGCCAAAATCTATGAAAAAAGGCACTCAGAAAAATTGAAAAATTAATAAATTACACCAAATTGCTTAACACGATTTTATCTCAGAAACTATAAGTGCAAATGAGCTGAAATTTTCAGGGATTGTAGTCCCTTAATTGGGATAAAATTCAGTGAAAGTTTCAGCTTTCTATCTATAATAGAAAAGAAGTTATGACCTTTCAAAGTTTTCCAAAATCTAAATCATAAGGTAGGTACCTTCCTACAAAAACGATGAAATTTCAAATTTTTTTTTTTTCGAGATTTTGTATCCTAATGGTCAATCAACACACCTCAAACTCCATAAACTAAATTATTTTCAGATTTGAAGCCTAAATCTATGAAAAAGGCACTCAGAAAAATTGAAAAATTGATAAATCACTCCAAATTGCTTAACACGATTTTATCTCACGAATTATAAGTGCAAATGTGCTGAAATTTTCAAGGATTGTAGTCCCTTTATTGAGATAAGATTCAGTGAAAATTTCAGCTTTCTATCTATAATAGAAAGAAAGTTATGCTCTTCCAAAGTTTTCCAAAATCTAAATCATAAGATCATGAATCTTAACCAAAGTAACACTGGGGACAAATTTTTGAAGTTGGAGTATTGCTGAAATCCCTTTGGAAATATTTATTGACCTCTACCTAAGTAACCCTGGAAGAAAATTCTCAGAGTCGGATTTAATTTTATTCAGAAATAGTTAGGTATTTATGTATTTCCTTAAGTAATCATAAGTGGCCTTCACCTAAGTACCTAATCTCTCTTAAAAAATCTAGGAACCAGAACCAGATTAAATTCCTTCTGGAAGTATTTCCAAATTCCTTTGAATATCTTCAATAAATTTTCACCAAAATAACCCTGGGAGAAAATTCTTGAAATTTTTTCGAGTTATCTTCAATGAGTGTCCCTGAATGAAGTCAAGTATTGAAATATATCAAGTCAGTCAATTTTTCTGTATACTTACATACATTTATTTTCGAATAAATTCTTATGTTCATAAATAAACAAAAAATAAGGTTCCAAGTGTCGAAAGTGGTGTCCGAGTAATAAATACGTTAAAGCACCATTTAGGATTTCGTCTCAGCCGTCAAGTTGGTGCCGAGGCGAAATGTTTGGTATGCGGCTCGGAACCCATTCAGCGATTTAACACAAAATTTTTCACGGTTCGCGAATTCCTCTCGCTTGTACCTTTAAGAACCAGTCGCCGGGTTCCATAAATATCGTCGATATATCAAAGCGACGGTGTGCAATATTGTGATCGGCCAGTTTTTTCCTTCTTTGAATATGAATTTATTGCGTGGAAGATTATCTGGGAGATTTTTTTTTTAAATAAAACCACACAAAAGTTATTTTTTGTCATAATTTATTTCATTGTTTTGTTGGGAAATACATCTTTTTTCTTCTTTTTTTATTTTGACACATCAACTTTATAAAATGTTTCATTATGTTTGGTTAAATTTTGCTTTTAGTAATAACATTTAACATTATGTTTTTTTTTTAAGGACAATATCCATGTATTCAAATATCACATTTAGACAATACGATAAGATTTTACAGCCTTGGATGATTGAAATTTTATATAATTTTTCTTTAAATGTACACAGTACAATAATTTTTTTTTTGTGCACTATGTACATTCAGCAACAATTGTTGCCTAAAAATCAAAAACTCAGTATGATCTATTTCTGAAAAAATAAATTGTTGATGCAAGGTTGCAATAATTCAAAAAAAAAAACAATTAATTGAAATGTATATTATTAACAATATTAAAATTATGTATATGTACAAAAGTTAATTTAAATAATTTTATTTACAATAGCTATTTTACATTTTGAAGGGGTTGTTAATAAAATTTACACAATACTTTTTTTGTTTAGTAGATAACATTTAGGCCTTTTTTTTTAAAGTGGTTTTAACACCATGAACAACAGCAAAAACAAAATAACAAAAACCACCTTTACAAGGCTTCATTTGGCAAGAAGATTTACTTTAATTGGTAACCTTTTTGTATAGACAAGACACTCGTTTTAAGGCATTTTCCAAATATAGGTTTTTTGACTATGATATTGACATTCTTGACTTAAAAATTAACGGCCTTTACAATAGTAATTAATTAAAAACGGAATGTATATTAAAAAAAAAAAAAACAGTGTTATTTGGCATTTTTAAAGAAACAAAAACACTTATTAACCCTAAAGAATTAATTAAAGCTTTTTTGATTTATTTTTAATTTTTTTTTGTTAAAAGTGTTACAAAATCTACCATTTTGAAACGTAAAATATACTTTGTTATAACAAGGATTTGAAAAAGTTTTATCTATAATACAAAAATAGGATATTTTTCACTATTCAACAACCATATAATTTTTTTTTATCTCGGTGAAACTACAATCAGTCATAAAGTACAGCTGAAAATTGTTGAGAGGAGGGTGTTTTCATTTACAATCGAGGGCAACACCAATAAGACATAGATTGATTAAATTTACCTTAGTTTTATAGTGATGGCACTCTTTTCTATGGCACCACAAAAAAGGGTAATTTTCAGCTTTAACTTAACAAATATTCCTCGCTGCAAGAGAATAAAAGCTATTTTAATTAAATATTAATGCGAGATCAATTTTTCAGCTTCAGTCACTATCATCCACCCTAACACTCTCGTCACTACTCCCCCCGTCATCGTCGCACCTCATCATTGGCAACAACTCGATAGTACTGCCCATACCTTCGCCCAACGATAGCAGCGTCGGAGTATCCGGTACTGGACTGGAATCTTCTCTGATCGATGCACTCTGATCTATGTTTATACGAAGACCGGGCTGCCTGATGATGGTCGGCTGGCCGGACATTAACGGTTCGGATGGGATGTCGTCTATTTGAATGAAAACTATCTTGGGAGTTTCGCCAGGCGTGCTGGTACCGGCAACGCTGGTCAGATCACAGTCGTCTTGAATTAGAATGTAGCAGTCGCCGACCGGGACCTGGAACAATTTAGAATAAGAGGTAAGTTTTTGATTAATATTTTTGTATGGATTGGTTGGGAATATCTCAGAATTGGTTTATGTGAATATATGAATCTGGAAAATACTTTGTTAGGAATCATTTTTGTTTTGTTGTGTGTGTGAAATTCAGAATAGATTTAGGCCATCTTAAGTTTCATGATGTTACGAATCTTGAAGCTATACTGCCTTTTTATCAGTAAGTTATTCCTTGTATTTTGTCAATTGATTAATTTAGGAAAGAAAGTCTTGAGTAAACAGTAAAATCCCAGTAAGCTTTTTAATTTCATTGATGAAACACTTGCAAAATCTTTATTCTTTTCGTTCCTTTGAACATTTACAGCAACTTTTCCAGGAAGCATTTTCTCTAAATCCTATTTTCGTATCTCTTTGGTAATGAAATCCTGAGAAAATTGCACAATCTTGTTTTTCATGGATCTTTCAAGCTTTCTAATAATTTTCCAGGAAATCTTCATTATAGAATAATGCATTTTTTAGACGTCTTTGGATAACAATAGAGATTTTGTGAAACTTTTCTATGATTTCTGTTGATTTTTATCTAATTTCTATACATTTTTACTTATGCAAATTTCTCCGATAATTTACCATGAAATTTTTCTGTCAAAAAAATTTCCAGTAGTAATATAACTAGTGCATGAAATATTTCCGGAAATTTTTGAAAATTTTGTCTGAAGCCAATTTTTTAACAAAATCATGAGCTCATAGCTCCTGAAAAAATCCCGAACCCGAAGGGTGAAGGATTTTTTCTTTGGCGCTATGCACGAATGGTTTTGTTCAAAAAAATTGGCTGAAGACGAAATTTTTTAAAATTTCCCTTAGGAAATATTTTATGCACGTGTTATATTTTGATAGGAAATTTCCCGAGTTTGAAGTTTATTTACTACGTTGTGTCGATATTTTTTTTATTGTTGTTGATTGTTATTGATCTTTCTCATTTAAATTGCGTTTGTCAAAAATATACACTTTGACAGATTTTTGACATCAATACGTTTTAAATGGAAAAGCGGGCATCAATGTCAAAAATTACAATTCTGGAAATTTTCCCCGGGATATTTCCAAAAATTTCTACTTATTAATTTAGACAATTTGTATGCAAAATTTCTAGTGTAATTTGCACAAGGGAAATTTCCTGAGAAAATGTATGATTTTTTTTTGTCACCCAATTTTTTATAGAAGCATGAAGTGCATAGGTCTGTTCTCACAAAAATCACAAACCAGTCAGAGCGTTTTTGATTGGTGCAAATCGCTAATCGCTAACAACCAGTTTTCTGACATTCAACCAATGAAATTCGCTTTAACTGGTTTGTAATTTCTATGAGAACAGACCTTATATCACCTGAAAATATCACGAGCCCGTAGGGCGAGAGTTTTAAAAAATTACGAGCCCATAGGTTGAAGGTTTTTTCTAATGATATGCCTACATAAATATATCACCAAAAAGTGTTTTTGGTGATATCATCAGAAAAACCGTCACCCTACGGTTTCATGATTTTCTAAAACTCGCCCTACGGGCTCGTGATTTTTTGTAACTCTCGCCTTCTGGCTGGGCTCGTGATTTTTTAAAACTCTCGTCCTTCGAACTCGTGAATTTCTAAAACTCGCCCTACGGACTCGTGATCTCAAAAAATATTTTAGGACGCTTCAGGAAAATACTCCAAAATTCAAATTTAAGTAAGAACTATCACAGGTATTTTAGAAAATTCCATAACACTTTTCGAATAATTTGGAACGTTCAGAACAGTCTAGAACACTCTGAGATTCTCAGAACCATTCTGGAACAGTCTAGAAAACCCAAGGATGATACACATCTACAGGATTGCTTATCGGCCTCGTTTTTGGTAATCCCCGCCATATTGGTGTGTCACCATTTCCTACGTCATAACTAAATCGTCACTTGTTTTAAACAGTTTACATCCAGGCGAAAAATAAAATGCTGCCTACGTCACAACTGGTGATTTGGCATAGTGGAAAGCGGGGGATTTGTTACACACAGGCCTTATGAGATGAGGATAGGTCATCCTGTAGTAGTAGTGTGTATATATCATCCTTGAGTCAAAATGGCGTTTTTTTTTTAATTACGAGCCCGAAGGGCGAGAGTGTTTTCAATAATGATATACATGAATATATCACCAAAAAGTGTTTTTTTTTGGTGATATCATCAGAAAAACCGTCGCCCTACGGACTCGTGATTTTTTTGAAACTCTCGCCCTTTGGGCTTATGATTTTTCAAAACTCTCGCCCTTTGGTTTCATGATTTCCTAAAACTCGCCCTACGGGCTAGTGATTTTTTATAACTCTCGCCCTTTGGCCTCGTGATTTTTCAAAATTCTCTCCCTTTGGGCTCGTGTTACTCTCGCCCTTCGGGCTCATGATTTTTCAAAACACCCGCCTTTCGGGCTCGTGATTTTTCAAAATTCTCGCCCTTTGGGCTCGTGTTTTTTTTTTAACTCTCGCCCTTCGGGCTCATGATTTTTCAAAACTCTCGTCCTACGGGCTCGTGATTTTTCAAAATTCTCGCCCTTTGGGCTCGTGATTTTTCAAAATTCTCTCCCTTTGGGCTCGTGTTACTCTCGCCCTTCGGGCTCATGATTTTTCAAAACACCCGCCTTTCGGGCTCGTGATTTTTCAAAATTCTCGGCCTTTGGGCTCGTGTTTTTTTTTAAAACTCTCGCCCTTTGGGCTCATGATTTTTCAAAACTCTCGTCCTACGGGCTCGTGATTTTTCAAAATTCTCGCCCTTTGGGCTCGTGATTTTTGAAAAAATTCTCGCCCTTCGGGCTCGTGATTGTCTAAAATTCTCGCCCTGCGGGCTCGTGATTTTTTCAGTTGATATGCACTTCATGCTTCTATACATAGAAAAATTGATTATTGGAATTTTTGTATACACATTTGATATTTCAACTGAACATTTTTCATAATCTATTGTAATATGATGATACAATAATAGTCGAGAAAATGAACTTTTCTTGATCATCGATTCTCATGAGATTTTTATGGATTTCTACTGATATTCATGAAAAATTCATTAATTTCCAATTATTGTTTCATTAAAATAGACATTTTCTGATAAAAATGTCATATCTGTTTCACCATGATGACAGTTTAGCTATCTTTTACCAAATAAAGATTCCCATATGATTTTAAATTATTCAAAAGTGATTTTTATTGATTCCAATGATTCCTTCAAAACTGTAAATTATTTAGTAATAAGTACATTACTGTTATTTTCAATTATCATGATCACAGATTATTAACTATTCTAATCAAAAATTAATACTCAGACGATTTCTATTGATTTTCGTTAAATTTGCACTGATTTCAATGTAATTTCTATCAATTTCCACATATTTTCAAAAAAATATTCATCGATTTCCAGTGGTGAATACCTCCTTGGAAAACTGGAAACCAATTGACATTTTTGTGAGAATTGATAAAAACTACATGGGAATTAATGAAAATGGCCTGGGAGTCAGTGAACATTATATGGATATCAAGGAAAATTGTATGATAACATTGTTTTTACTTGAAAATGATAGTTCATCTTAACATGAACATGATCATTTGAAAAATAGCATCAGAAATGGTCCATCTCATCGACCACAGGAAATCGATATACATTTTTATGGAAATTAGTGGAAATCGCTGGATACTCCCTTGGAAAGCTGGAAATCTATTTAGGTACATTTTTATGGGAATAAGTTTGATAGAAATTACATGAGAATCAATGGAAATGACATGAGAGTCAGTCAACATTACATGGAAATCAATGAAAATCGTATGATAACATTTTTTTTTTTTTTTCGTGAAAAAGGTAGTTCATCTTAACATGGTAATGATAATATGAGAAATAGCACCAGAAATGGTCCCATCTTATCGACCACAGAAAATCGATGTACATTTTTATGAAAATTAGTGGAAATTGCTGGAAACCCGCTTGGAAAACTGAAAATCGATTTACATGTATGGTAGATGATCCCTTGATTAAGATGGTACATTTCTAGTGTTATTTTTGATATTATCATGATGACAGTTTATCAACTACCTATCCCAATTAAAAAAGAGTTCTGATACGATTTCTATTGATTTTCGTTTAATTTTCACTAATTCCCATGTAATTTCCACGTATTTTCATGAAAATATTTCCAGTAATGGATATCTCCATGAGAAACTAGAAATCTATTTAATATTTTGTGAGAATTAATAGAAACTACATGGGAATCACTGAAAATGGCATGGGAATCAGTGAACATTACATGGAAATCGATGAAAGTCGTATGATAACATTTCTTTTTTCTTGGAAATGATAGTTCTTCCTAACATATAGACATGATAATTTGAAAAATAGCACCAGGAATGATTTATCTCATCGACCACAGCAAAGACAATTCGCCCTTTGGGAAATTGAAAATCGATTTACATTATTATGGAAAAGTGGAAATTGATAGAAATTACATGGGAATTAATGAAAATGACATGGGAATCAGTGAACAGCACATGGAAATCAATAGAAATCGTATAACATGTTTTTTTTTTTGAAAATAATAGTTAAACTCTCATCATCTTAAAATGAACATGATTCCATCGACCACAGGAAATCGATATACAAATCGCTGAATACTCCCTTGGGAAACTGGAAATTAATTTACATTTCAATGGGAATAAGTGGGATTTGATAGAAATTACATAGGATTCAGTGAACATTCAGTCATATGAATGAAGTGGAGCAAATGCTTTTACTCCACCTCTGTCCTTTTTTGCTGCATTAAAGCTGAATATGTTTATCTCAGAAAACTGAAGCAAAAGCATTTGCTTCTGTTTTATGGATATGAGTCATTATAATATGGAAATCATAATGAAAATTGTATGATTACATTGTTTTTCTTCAGAAGAAAAGTTAAACTATCATCACCTTAAAATGAACATGATAATTTAGAAAATATCATCAGAAATTGTCCATCTCATCGATTACAGGAAATCGATTTACATTTTTATGGAAATTAGTGGAAATCGCTGGATACCCCCTTGGGAACCTGGAAATCGATTTACATTTCTATGGGAATAACTGGGAGTTGATAAAAATCACATAGGATTCAGTGAACATTATATGGAAATCAATGAAAGTCGTATGATTACTTGTTTTTTCTTGAAAAGGATAGTTGAACCTCATCACCTTAAGATGGACATAATAATTTCAAAAGTATCACCAGAAATGGCGCATCTCATCGACCACAAGAAATCGATGTACATTTCTATGGAAATAAGTGTAAATCGCTAGATACCCCCTTGGGAAACTGGAAATGGATTTACATTTCTATGGAAATAAGTGGGAGTTGATAGAAATTACATGCGAATCAAATAACTCTGTTCCAACAGAACTGAGAACCGTTCTAGAACGGTAATTTCCAGTTGATCAATTCATTTTTCAAGTAGGATAAACGTTCAACTTATTGAAAAATAGTTGGACAACTGGAAATAACTGGTTCTGGAACATTACATAGAAATCAATGAAGATTGTATGATAACATGCTTTTTTTTGAAAAGGATAGTTGAACTGTTATGATCTTAAGATTGACATGATAATTTCAAAATTATCACCAGAAATGGTGCATCTCATCGACCATAGGAAATCGATGTACATTTTTATGGAAATTAGTGTAAATCGCTGGGAAACTGGAAATCGATTTACATTTTTATGGGAATAAGTGGGAGTTGATAGAAATTACATGGGAATCAATGAAAATGGCATGGGAATCAGTGAACATTAGGTACATGGAAATCTTATGATAACATGTTTTTTCTTGAAAAGGATAATTGAACTGTCATCATCTTAAGATGGACATGATAATTTGAAAAATAGTACCAGAAATGGTTTATCTCATCGACCACAGGAAATCGATGTACAGGGTGATCCGTTTATTTTGTCCTATCTCGGTATATGGAAATCTATATATTTTATGATAAAAAGTTGAATAGAAATTGGTGTTTTTGTATTTGCGCATATACAGGGGGTGTCAAAAACGTTTAACACATTAGATTTTTTTTTCAATGGAACACACTGTATATTTTTATATTTTTTGGTAGTGCTTTTAAAGACAAGTATAAATATACAGTTTGATAGAGTTGTTATGCACGGTTTCGGATTTATTTACGGTTATCTTCGGGGAACGACCATTTTTTAGATTATTGTAGAAACGTTAAATAGTATATTATTCAACGAGCGGGTAATGATGGCTATTACTCACAAAGGATGAAGTTTGCACTACGAGCCGCAGGCGAGTAGTGCAATCATCCAAGTGAGTAATCGCCATTACCCACGAGTAGAATACTATACTTTTTCTATGATTAATAGATAATATAGGCACGAGTTATGCGGTTTTTTATTTAATTTTCATAACAAAATTGATCGACAATTCTGACAGCTGGAGGACGAAGTGAGGTTAGGTTAGTATAAGTCTTGTCCAAATCAGCTGTCAAAATGATCGATTGGAAGGTTGAAGTATGTTGTCAACTGTCGAATTTTCTGATTGACTCCTAAATAGTGGAGTAATGAGACCAGGATATTTTCATTGGTTGAAAACAATTGAGTTATGAAAAAAAAAACTCACTATATGACTAATCATTCACATTGATCAATAGAAAATGGATGTATATTACGCATATTATTCAATACTCATAGAAAAAATAAATATTTATTTTAAAGTTGGACTTTGACCAAAGGGAAACATCGTCTACTTTTCCAATTAATTGTAAAAAATAATTTCATTCAGTACATCATATACAGGGAGTTCCATTAAAAAAAATTGAATCTGATGTGTCACTTTTTTTGACACCCCCTGTATATGCGCAAATACAAAAGATCAAATTTATACAACTTTTGTATGTAAATTTTTATTATAAAATATCTTGATTCCCATATACCGAGATAGGACAGAATAAACAGGCCACCCTGTACATTTTTATGAAAATTAGCGGAAATTAATTGAAATAACGTGGTAATCAGAGTACGTTAATCAACCACTTTTTCGAGTTAAAAAAAAGATACCTAGTTAAACTATCATGGTCATGGTAGTACCTACCTATACATAAAAAATTTAGAAATTGTATAAAAAATTACTATCATTCACTGAGAATTGATGGGAATTAGTGAAAATCAATATTGAGAATCAACAGTCATCAAATAAGAATCATTGAAAATTATGCGAGAATCATATTGAAATAAGTTTGAAAGCAAGTACTTATAAATTCTCTTTCTGTAATCGAAGAAAACCATGCAAAACATGTTCTGAACAAAATTTCAAAAGGACAAGAAAACCAGGAAGTTTTTGGAATTGTTCATTATTCCAAATTTCAGACAGACTTAACACAATACTCAAAAGGAAATCACAAAATATATTGACTAAGTTGAAACAGCGAGTAGATTCTGATGAGCTTATCATGCTAATTCTGTGATTTAGATTTTTCCCAACAAACAACTTTAGAAAATACGTTGAAACAATTATTATATTGACCGATTATGGACAGGAGTTTTTCAAAAAATAATGTTATTTTTAAATTCTCAGCATATTATTTACCTAGAAATCGAAAAACAAGAAGTAAATTCTTACCCGATCGGCGGAAGCTAATTCTCACAGTGGCGCATGAGTGACTCGGTCCATCACGCTAACCTCCTCACTAGTAACCGTATGCGTCGAAATCATTTGGTGAGGATGCATATGGTGGTGGTGGTGGTGCGTGTGATGGTGCGGCGACGCCATGTGAGTCGGCGTCGTCGGGACGGAAGTATTGTTGTTATTATTGTTGGAAGTTGTCGATGTCGCACTCGATGAAGAGAGTTTCGATTCTTTCTTCATTCGTTGCTTGAGGTGAACCTGGAATAAAATATGCAAACGATCTTTATCCATTTATTGAACTGGCTTCGCTGGCGAGCAGTATATTTTAGCGCGAAATGCTCGCAATTAGTAACTGTCAATATATTATAGATAATGAACCGCTATTACTGCCCTAATAAATATTTATTAAAAACAACTCGTTCGTATAGGCTATTTTAAATCTTGATTTGTCTTCTGGTTCGGGTTCTTGTCGCTTTTTCCGTAACGAAGCAGTTGATTGGGTTTGTATCATTTGGTTTTTTATGAAGGTAGGTACCACCAAGAAGTTTGTTTGATTTCTTGGTACATTTAAAAATTGCAAAAATCAAATTGTCTACAGGAATTTGTACCGCCTATATTTTCTTTAATTCAAGGATAACTAATATAATTTGTCCAACAAGCGTTTAAGCTGGGCAAATTAATGATCTTGTCTTTGAAAGCAATATTCATTTTACCTCTTCTAATGGGTGCTAATTTGTTACGCCATTCGAAGGCTACTAAGTAACAATATAGTTTTTTGTTGCCTGAATAAATTACTAGTGTGGCTTGAGCGGTCTCGAAATGTAGAGGAAATTTTCCATATCTTAACATATTAAACTCTACACTGACAGTCATTTTCCAGCAATCCTGACAATGCAATCTAATACACTGTTGTCAGCAACCCTTTAATAACTTCCACATTCCTTGCTAGGGTGTTTCTGACAACCTTAATGCTGACAACACATGAAATAGGTATCTATTACAAGTTGAAAAATAAAGATCTACTACAGTTCGGCCCAAGGGGCAAACCACCTAGGAATTTATAAGAATTTGGTGAATTTATAAGGAATTCAGAGAAATTTATGGGGAATTTGTGAGGAATTTATAAAGAATTTAAAGAAAATTGTAGACTCATGACGTTACTGAGGTTCACATTCTTATTATAAGAAACACTAATCAATGGAAATTTTAAAAAAAAATCTAATTTGTGTTGAACGTTGGACATTCATTTTCATTAAAAAAATTCTTCCACAATTTCACTTCATTATTTACAGGTCCAAATTTAAAAAAAAAATCAAAACAATAATGAGTACAGTTTCTGTAGGCTGATTTCCAAGATTCTTCATGTTGTTATTTTCCACTGGAAATATTTGAAATTTTGTGAAAATGAGCCTCTGACTTCACGTGCAAAAAGTTTCAAAATTTTCCCTTAATAAGTTTTCCAGGAAAACGTTGAATTGTGTAAGACTGTAATAACAATTATTTCAGTTTTTGTAAGTTGATTTCCAAGATTTTTCATGTCGTTATTTTCCACTGGAAAAATTTGAAATTTTGGGAAAATAAGCTTCTACCCTGCCTCTTTACATGCAAAAAGTTTCAAAATTTTCCCTTCACTAGTTTTCTAGGAAAGCTTTGAATTGTGTGAAACAGTATTTTTAATTAATTCAATTATTGTACGTTGATTTCCAAAATTCCTCATGTTGTTATTGTCTACTTGAAAAATTTGAAATTTTGGGAAAATGAGCTTCTAACTTTTCTCTTCTTTTGCAAAAATTTTCAAATTTCTCCTTTCATTAGTTTTCCAAGAAAAATTTGAAATGTGTGAGACGTTATTATCAATTAATTCAGTTTTTGACAGGTTGATTTCCAAGATTCTTCATGTTGTTATTTTCCACTGGAAAAATTTGAAATTTTGGGAAAATGAGTTTCTCAGCTTCCTCTTTACATGCAAAAAGTTTCAAAATTTTCCCTTTACTAGTTGAAAACTTTGAAATGTGTGAGACTATATTTTCAAATAATTCAGTTTTTGTAGGTTGATTTCCAGCTGTTTTCCATTGGAAAAATTTGAAATTTTGGAAAAATGAGCCTCTCATCTTCCTCTTTACATGCACAAAGTTTCAAAATGTTTCCTTCACTAGTCTTCCAGAAAAACTTTGAAATGTGTGAGACTGCATTTTCAATTAATTCAGTTATTGTAGGTTGATTTCCAAGATTCCTCATGTTGTTATTGTCTACTTGAAAAATTTGAAATTTTGGGAAGATGAGCTTCTAATTTTCCCCTCTTTTGCAAAAATTTTCAAATTTTTCCTTTCATTAGTTTTCCAGGAAAAATTTGAAATGTGTGAGACGGTTATCAACTAATTCAATTTTTGACAGGTTGATTTCCAAGATTCTTCATGTTTTGTATTTTCCCCTGGAAAAATTTGAAATTTTGGGAAAATGAGTTTTTCAGCTTCCTCTTTACATGCAAAATATTTCAAAATTTTCCCTTTACTAGTTGGAAAACTTTGAAATGTGTGAGACTATATTCTCAACTAATTCAGTTTTTGTAGGTTGATTTCCAGACTGTTTTCCATTGGAAAAATTTGAAATTTTGGAAAAATGAGCTTCTCATCTTTCTCTTTACATGCAAAAAGTTTTAAAATTTTTCCTTCACTAGTTTTCCAGGAAAACTTTGAAATGTGTGAGACTGCATTTTCAATTAATTCAGTTATTGTAGGTTGATTTCCAAGATTCCTCATATTGTTATTGTCTACTTGAGAAATTTGAAACATTAGTAAAATGACCTTCTAACTTTCCTCCTCTTATGCAAAAATTTTCAAATTTTTCCTTTCATTAGTTTTCCAGGAAAAATTTGAAATGTCTGAGACAGTATTATCAACTAATTCAGTTTTTGACAGGTTGATTTCCAAGATTTTTCATGTTGTTATTTTCCACTGGAAAAATTTGAAATTTTGGGAAAATGAGCTCCTCACCTTCCTTTTTACATGCAAAAAGTTACAAAATTTTCCCTTTACTAGTTGAAAAACTTTGAAATGTGTGAGACTGTATTTTCAACTAATTCAGTTTTTGTAGGTTGATTTCCAGCTGTTTTCCATTGGAAAAATGAGCTTCTCATCCTCGTCTTAGAGGAATTTGTGGGGAATTTGAAGAAATTTTTGGTGGAGTAATTGGAGGAATTTGTGATGGGGTATCTAGAGGAATTTGAAGGCTATCGATTTCTCTGATTGTCCTCAATCAGGCAAATCAGGTGTAAGCATCTTGATACATAATCATAAGCTAACCTAAAAATACACAAACATACAACTGACAAGTTGCCTCAATGCTGACAACACATGAAATAGGGCTCTATTAGATTACAAGTTATGTTACTTACTTTTGCATGCCTCTTTTTCTCGTCGCTCCTAGCAAACTTCCGTCCGCAAACGTCACAAGAAAACGGTTTCTCGCCGGTATGAGTCCTGATGTGCGTCGTCAAGTGATCCGACCGCGAAAAGCTGCGCATACAAATCCGGCACTGAAACGGTTTCTGTCCGGTATGGATCCGTATGTGCCGCGTTAGTTCGTCCGACCGCGAAAACCGCCGGTCGCAGTTTTCCACCGGACACGCGTACGGTCGTTCGTGTACGGGCGTTTTACTCGGCCGATTCGGGTACTTTCGCGGTTTTACCGGTACGAGTTTGAGCGGTACCGCGCTCTGTTGGTACACTTGCGATAAGATTTCGTGGCCCTTCGATGTTGATGGGTTGTATTCTGCTAGTTGCACTGCTCCGTATGGTGAGGAGCTTTGCTGCAACTCTGCTCCGCATGATGTTGAAAACGGTTCTTGTTTAGGTACTAGAGAGCTAGGACCTGGTACTATCGAGCCCTGTGGTGAATACTCTTGAGTTTCCCATTGGTATTTGGCCGAAGGAGCTACAATCGGTCTCGAGTAAATTAAATCATTTTGTTGCATGTCTAGTTGGAGGGTTGTGCTGGTACTCGAACAACTTGGATAGCTAGGGGGCTGTTTCAAAGCGGTACAATCCATGCTGAGCATTAATTGCTCGGTGCCTCTATCGTCGTATTGAGTACCGGCAGGAGATGGCGTGGCACTGGAATACTGTTGCGGACTTTGACTTGTTTGACTGGAAGTACCTTGTAGAAATCCAAACATTGACGGGTACATTGGTTTATCGCCACTGGATAGTAACCATTGACCGACGGCTGAGGGGCTGTGCCCCAAATTTTGTTGTGTCATGCCTTCTTGACTTTGAACCATCATATTGGGGCTTCCAGCACTTGTGTACACTGAACGGTGTTGTGGCATTTTGCCCATGTTGTTGTTGTTAGTTGAATGATGCGGGTACATGGTACTTAAAGAACTTTGATTCGTACTGTCTTCTTTGGGACTTAGTGCTGATTCTTGAGGCGTGCCTCGTTCAGTCAGGTGCGAGCTGTTTGGTGAATGGTGTGGTGACGTTTGGTGTTGCTGACTTTGTTGGTCGATGGACAACTCTTCGGGATCGAGAGTACCTGAAACAAAATGTTTATATTGTAATAAATTTAAAATAAAATGCGTTGTGATATTTGATAATCCATTGTGTGATTTAGCCGACGGACGCTTACGAAGCGGTTTTAGTTCTTATGAATAGAGCTTAAGTATCACATGTTATTTAAAACGTTAAATTTTATTAGTTTGCAAATAAATATGACTTACCTATAATAAATTATATTATTACTTGGCCCTGACCTTATATAAAAATTTATGGCAGCGCCAACAAGTCATTTTTTTTCCAAAAAGAAACATGCACAAGTAGTAATAAACATGTTGAGCTTTGTCGAACGACTTGTAGTTATTTTTAAACAATAACTCCTGCGCAGGGATTTTATTAAATATAATATGCATTAAAATTCGAATTCACTCGTTAAATTTTATTAGCAATTATACTTGGTGTATACATGGGGATTAATATAGCGTAATAAATTTTTTAAGATGTAATTGGACGAATTGCACATCAGGTATCCAGTTGGAAAATTGAGTTGCATTTGCATTAATTCGAATCGAAAATAATTGTTATGGAATACCTACGCTTGGCATAGCAGACAGAACATTTTGGTTAAATGTGGGCGACCCTACGATACATTTTCGACGTAGGTTTTTGATAGTAAAACTGATGCATGAGCATGAATGAATGAGTATATAGGGAATTTCGATTCATTGAGGAATCGAATTGGATCATTCGAGTAAATGTGAATTTGTCTCGTTGGATTATTGGGATATAGACGAAAATGTGGAAAAGTTACACCAAAATATTGTCAACACAATCAACAAGACAAGACTACGTCGAATTACTGATTATTCCAAGAGCCAAACCACCTAAGAATTCTTTGCCAAAACTGTGGGGAGTTTAGAAGAATTTGTGGGGAATTTATGGGAAATTTAAAGAATGTATAAGAAATTGGGGGAATTTATTGGTTTTAATACTGATCGTAATAAAAATAGAAAAATACATTTCTTATCACTAAAAATTTTGAGGATTTTCAGGGAATTTGTAACAGGCATTTGCAGGAAATTTGCGAGCAGTTTGAAGGAATTTTTGGGGACATTGGGAACGGAGAAAGGATCGAAAGACGTCAGTTTACGTCTTCAAGAAGTCTTGTATGTTACAAAAACCAACGTCTGCATATAAACACGTCTTCAGAACTAATATTTCATTATGATTACCCATTTTATAACTTACAATTTTCGTATATTCCAAATTCTAGGCTCCTAAATTCTTGATTTATTTTGGAAGAAAAACATATTAAGAAGAAACAGGAGTTCTGTTTTCGCAATTGTATCCTACCTTATTCCCTTCTTTGTCTTACTTAAGTAAGCATTGGAATATCATTTTCGTTAAAACTGAACTAAAAATAAGTTTTGAATACCTACCTTATTTCGGGAAGTTTAATATTTATAATCATTATTAATTAATTATTCAGCAGGTTTTTATTAAATTTCAAACAAAAAAAAAACTAATTTTTTCTACTTGAGATGTGGCAACGTCGCTTTCAATGACATTTGCCTCTTTTTCCAGTCGGCCATTTTGAATGACACATTTCCGTTTTTATCCAGTTTTTCGTCGAATTTCCCACTTTTCCAAGGCCGAGAAAACCGATTTAAAGTGCGCGGCTTTAAATTTCCCTAATTTTCTGCTTTTAAATGGGGTAAGTAACGAAAACTTCATTTTTATCTAGTAGGCTTTCGAATGTCATTTTCCTTATTCAACAGCTTTTTAATAAATTTCAAACAAAAAAAAAACTAATTTTTTCTACTTGAGATGTGGCAACGTCGCTTTCAATGACATTTGCCACTTTTTCCAGTCGGCCATTTTGAATGACACGTTTCCGTTTTTATCCAGTTTTTCGTCGAATTTCCCACTTTTCCAGGGCCGAGAAAACCGTTTTAAAGTGCGGGGCTTTGAATTTCCCTAATTTTTTGCCAAAGATATCTGCTTTTCAATGGGGTAAGTAACGAAAACTTCATTTTTATCCAGTAGGCTTTGAAATGTCATTTTCCTTATTCAACAGCTTTTTAATAAATTTCAAAGAAAAAAAAAAACAATTTTTTTCTATTTCGAGATGTGGCAAGGTCGCTTTCAATAACATCTGCCACTTTTGACAGTCGGTCATTTTGAATGACACGTGTTCGTTTTTATATAACTTTTCGTCGAATTTTCCACTTTTTCAGGGGGGAAAACCGCTTAAAGTACGGGGCTTCAAATTTCCTTTATTTTCTGCCAAATATTTACGCTTTTCAATGGGGTAAGTAACGAAAACTTCATTTCCAGTAGGCTTTGGAATGCCATTTTCGTTGGGTTTTCTTTAGATTTTCCGCTTTTCCAGAGTCTTTTTAATCGAAAAAAAGTGGTTTTAAGTGCGGGGCTTTGAATTTACATCTTTTTCGGCCACTTTTAGACAGACCAAGCACTTAAATTGTATCTTAATTTATCTCTCTCTCTTTGTCTTACTCATTTATAATCGCATTTGATGCTTTTGCAAATGTATCCTATTTTATCTGCTTCTTTGTCTCACTATAATTCACTGTTTTTTTTCAAAAATACAATCAAATTAACATTTTGAATAGAAATTTTTTACTTTTCCAGGCTGCAAATTCATCGGGAAAACATATTCGGTTTGAGTTTGTGGCAACATCGTTTCAATCCAGTGGGCCTTGTAATAAATGTCATTTGCCACTTTTGACAGTCGGCTATTTTCGAGGCTATTTTGAGTGTCTTTACCCAGTTTTTCCTCGAATTTTTCCGCTTTTCTAGGGTTTTTCAGTCGGAAAAAATGATTTAAAGTGTGGGGCTTTGGGTTTTCTTAATTTTTTGACAATAATTCCAGCTTTAAGTTAAGAAGGGTAAGTGAATTTTTTTTATTGAAAAACAGCTTTTTGAGGTCTTTTTTTGGGGAGTTTCAAGTTTAAAAATCACTAATAATTAATTATTTAACGGCTTTTCCAATAAATTACCCATTTAAAATGATATTTTTTTTTGTGGCCGCTTGTAGCTTCACTCAGGTTTCAATCGAGGAGGCCTTGGAATGTCATTTATAAACCCTGGCAATGACATTTGACAGTCGGCCATTTCCAGTGACGCGTTTTCGTTTTTGTCCCGGTTTTTCCTCGAATTTTCCATTTTTCCGGCGAAAAAAGTGGTTCATCAAAGAAAAACGAAAAACAAACAGCTAGTAAATCAGTGTTACCCTAAAGACTTTTTGTCATATATTTTAAACTCGTGTCATTAATTAATATGTCACTTTTGACAAAATGTACCTAGGTTAGGTACATGTATCCACAATAATTATGAGGCAGCCATTCTAATTTTTTATGAGCTAGACAAAGATAGACAATGGATCCACCATCTATCGGTAAAAAAAAGAATGTGACTAAATAAAATCTTGGACTGAAGTCATGAAATGACATTAATGACATTTACTTAGTAGGCCATGGAAATGTATTTTTAAGGTTCAATTTACCTACAAAATAAAAATATTGGATTAAAATTTGAATCAATTTCTGGATGTTTTTGGAAATGTTTTAATCCATACTCCTGTGCAAATTTAGAGAAGGGTTTATCGATATTCATAAGAATCATACGTATCGATACGATTATTCTTTCAAAGTTTTTACTTCTTTCTACATCGATTCGATATTAATATGAGACAGATCGATATCTACTATCATTTCTGATTTTTTCCGAATTTAACTCTTTTTCTTCTTAATTTCTCAATTTTTCCCACTCAATTTTTGTTTGTTCCCGGCTTTTGAATTTTTTTAAAAAGAAAATTCAAGATCCTGGGATAGAGAAAAATATAAATGTCCTCTTTTTTACCATTTTTTTTTCAATTTATCTACATTTCTTTTCTAGTTAATTCTCAATCACGAGCAGAAATGTCAGCTACAATGAAGATTTTCTGGAAAATTATTAGAAAGTTTCAAAAATCCATAAACCACGAGATTGTGCAATTTTTCTCAGAATTTCGTTATTAGAGAGATACAGAAATAGAAAATATTTCCTGAAAAAACGATATTCAAAGGGACAAAAATTAAGATTAAAGATTTTTCAAAGTGTTTCATCAATGAAATTAAAAATTTTACTGGGATTTTACTGTTGCTGAAAACCTTTGAAGAGAACATATTATATCTGTCTTTTCCTCTTGACATAGTGACTTTAATGTTTTCCAGTTTTCTGTGCTTTTTCTTCCTCCAAGGTATGTTTGGATTGTTACATCTTCTTTCCCATTCTTCTTCTGTGTGATCTTTCTCCTGACTTTTGTTTGGGATCCTTTAAATAAAATTTTGTGTTCTTGTTTCTTTGTTGTTAAGAATCTTCCTCTTTTTTCTTTAATGTCTCTATCAATGTCCCCCTCCCACCAATAGGGTTTCCCTTGCGTTTTTCTTTCATAAACACCCTAAGCTTCATTTGCAGCATATTTCGGGCATCATTTTTTAATATATGGTTATGATGGTCGTTGTTGTTTTCGAAAAGCGCTTCTCTTAGTTTTTCATCGTAAATATTTCTGGTGATTTCGTGTTCTAGGCTGTCTAGGTTGTAGCGTGTTCGGCTGTTCGCACTGTTCCGGCTGATCGATGTGTTTTGTTTAAGTTCGTATGGGAAATCCTATAGATACCCTTCATATTGGGGCAAAATGAGGAAATAGCCTACTATGAGAAAAAAAATTGGATCATTGGAGAATGGAGGTTACATAATTTCAGTAGATCATTTGAAGAACACAATAAAAGTGAACATTTATTAGTTAGTTCTGACATTGTTCCAGAAGATCAGATGAAGTTTGACAGCGCATTGATAATAATTTCAGAAGAAGTACCAAATGACCCTGAGTGCAAAGCAACTTCAAGCTACTTGAATAATTCAACTTCAATCATTGAAGATTATGCAATGTAATTATGTATCCTAACTTCATGGAAAAATGGCTGAACGTTGAAACTTTTTAAATGTTGGAAAAGGAATTATATAGACACATTTGTA